TATGTATTATATATTATCTTATGTCCAATATAAAAAATATATTTAATGTATAATTTTCTAATAATATTTAAATAAACATGACTTTATATTCCAATAGGTTGTCAAATACAGGTACTTAGAACTTCTTTAACATTCCAGCAAGCTATCGAACATATACATTCTGAACTTCTTTAAATTACTAGAGCAACTTCCAATTTTCAGGGGACATTTACCTTCCAGTTATCAAACATGCCCTAAAATTCCAGCAAGTTATCGAACATATACATTCAAAAGTTCCTTAAATTACTTCATTCTTCCCAGTAAAGAAGAACTTCCAATTTCTAGAGGACATTTAGCAACCAGTTATCAAACATGCCCTAAAGATAGGACTAGAGAATTTTATTGGCCCACTTAAGTGGCTTGAGTATCGAAAAAAAAAAGAAGGGCTTTTATTTTATCAAAAACATTGAATTGCCAAACAATTAAATTACAAAACTACTTCATGATCCATCAATCTCGAACCAAGTTTTTTTTTTATTATTTTATAATTGCTTTTTTTTACTGTAATTAGTCAAAATTGTTTTTCTAGCTTAGCTCAAACCATTAAGCTAAATTACCAAAATGTGTTTAGTTGTTCAAGGTTTTTCATGTTTGGTAACTAAGAGTACAAGAGAAAACGACATGTTTTTACAATTATCATATTTTTCCCTATTTGAGAATAGGAAAAAGTGTGGAAATGCAGAGCCCCGCATTTTTCTGTCTTTCAACGCTTCTCCCCAATTTTGAGGAGAATTGTAATGAAACCCTTGTGGTGCCCCCCTGATTTCTCAAGAAAATGGGGAAAATACGCTATCCCCTAATTCCCTTTTTTATTTATCTAACCTCATCATCTTTCTCTCTTCCCAATCTCCCTTTGCCTAAGCTCTAGCCCGTGCTTTCTTTAGTTTTCATGTACATGAAAGGCTCTCAACTTCTAGCCAGGATTTTTCTACTTCTATTTTATTTTTATTTTTTATTTTTTTTAATTTGTTTTTTTGTAAGATTCCAATTTATCAAAGCTTCTCCAAAAAAGCAAATTTCTTAATTTCCAAATGGGGCCTTAGTTGATCAAGTTGTCCAACAGCTAATAGAGGTGATTTGAGGAAAGTTTGCTAAAATTTATTAGATGTACCTTTTTGTGAAATGAACGTGAAGAAGAAATGGTCATGAGTTAAAGTATTGTCTTCTAAATCCTTTTGCCATCATTTGTTTGGGAAAGGGGTTGGTTTGTAGAGGCAGCACTTTCATACCTAGTTATCGCGAGGTAGTTTTTATGGTTTGTAATTCTATTTATATTTTCAAAAAGCTAACTTTTAATCTATTTGAAAAAATGGGTAGGGGTGCTCATTTTTCCGATTGAATTATCCAAAAAAAAAAAATTTAAGAAAATCTATAAAAATAGGATCTTTTTTTATCCTTTTGATAATATCTTTAAAAAAAAACAGTGTAGAGTGAGACCATTTACCTATAATACAAGAAGGTTAGAGAAAGTTTCTTTTGAAGTTTGAGCTTGATCAATGTAATAAATAAAACCATCCATTTTCACATCCAATGGTCAAAATTAATTTTGACCGCCTTATACCAAAGATAAATGGTCTCCTTACCCTTAGAAATACAATCTTTTATATCTTTTGGTGATTTTAATAACATAATTCGAACATACTAAAAATATAATCTATCTTTGGGAGCTCAAGTGGTCTTCCATAGATTATTCACACTTAATAATCATCATACAAACCACAGTAGCAAGAAGAATGAATAGACACGGAGATACTTGGGTTAGGGCCGAAATCCATTGCAACGAACGAAAATACCCAAAAAAACACATAATCGTGAAATTTTGTGGCGTTAACCTGAATAAGAAGTCAAAGCAAACGGACTCCTAATCTTTTCACTCTCTAGAGTTACGAATGTCGATCACAACCGTTCAAATTCAGAGTGCTGCGACAGATCTCTTTCACTCTCTGGACTTTTTAAAGCCAAAATAACTCTCGACATTACAGAGCAGAAAGAGCTTTCTCTCTCTCTCTAAAACATTAACAGGAGAAGGGACACAAGGGCATCAGAGGAAGTCACAATCCCATTGTTCTTGCACAAAAACCTCTGCTACCATTGCTGTGTTTCAGTTCTCTAGACCATTTCTCGCCCAAAAGAGATGAACCCATAAAAAAAAAGGTCTCATCACAAGACCATCACCAGAGCTTCATTTACATTTGCCAAACTAGTCTCTGTCTCTTGGTTGGAGGACTAATCTGAGGAACAGTGAATCCATGGTGTTCTCCTCCATTAATGGAGCTCATGAATCTCTCTGCACCCCACCCTTTGCCTTGCTTAGGGATTTGGAGAATGAAATCATCAGAAGGAAAGAAGCAGTCGCCATTGAAATCGCTCTCCACAAGCTTCAAAAGCTCGTCAGTCTGCATTCACACCAGGGAAAGAATAAGAGAAAGGGGTAGAGAGAGAAACAGTCGGGGGTCGAGAACTGCCTTAGAGACTGGCTTCATGGGGGAGTGAGAAAGAGAAAGCCGATGAGAGAGAGAGAGGATGAGATGATGGATTGATGGAATGATGGCTTGATGAGGAGAGAGAAAGTAGGTGAATGAAGAGAGAGAGGGGGTGGCATGATGAGAGAGAGTGGATTTCCTTATCGCATAGAGATCTGCACCTCGAGCAGGCCATCGTTATTATGAGGAGGAGAGAGAGAGCCGGCGCCTGTCAGGAAATCATCAACCCTCCATCCTGGGATCGTGTGGGTGAGATACTCGGAGATGCTGCTACTCGTGCTAGAGAGAGGAGCCGGAGAATTTTGTTGGGGCGTCGAACTAGTCGCCGGCATCTTTGCTTTTTTGTTTTCCAGTGTATCAGCGGCAATTGATTGGAGCTTGACACCAGTGAGAAGGAAACGGTTATGGCGATAGGTGAGATCGTTTGCAGTATGAATGGCGATGTCGCACTCTCTGCATAGAATGGCTCGGTCTTCTTGGCAAAAGAGGAAGGCGCGCCTCTCCTGCAAAAAATTAAAAATTAAAAAATTTTCTTTTAGAGAGAGAGATGGGTTCCGTGGGATCGTGTTGATTTTAGAGAGAGAGAAAGGGGGTTTGGAGGAATCAAAGGAGAAAAGCTGGGTTACGGAGATCGAAGGAAGTTGTCGACTTTA